ATTATAGAATGTTCAAAAATGTCAATTTAAATTTTAATCACTGAAATTGTTTATAGTCGAAACGGGTTTTCTGTTTCGCAAATAGTTTTTATAGTTCAAATTTGCAACACTTTATCGCATGGAGAAAACAGTTATGCAACTGGACTTACTTTATTTCGTTCTGCCTGGCAATTTGCGTACGTTTCTCTAACCTCACTTTATTGTTGTGGTTTGTCTGCTATTCTCGTGCATTGGAGATAGCTGTTGGGTCTGTGTATAGTGCTTCCTGGTGTTTTAGATGTTGTTTTGGGGAGCCACAGGATAACATGCACCCCTCACCAGTCTCTCGAATCTCCTTCTCTTCTTTCAGCCGCTTGTTGACTTCCCACGATGTTTTTTTGTTTTTCCGGTACCAGGTAAATTCACTGATTTGGCCTATTGCCATTGGTTGCTCGTATCCATGTTATCATTTTATAACTGCGCAATTTCTCTAGCATATTGCGATGAATTTGATTTTAATTACCTTACGGCGTAATTTAGATTTTATAACTGCGTAGTAGATTTTATACGTCTTAATACTAATTTACAAGAAATTTTTATATAATATTTCGCATGACAAATTTTTTTTTTAAGAAACTTCTAGCCTATGTGTTTCTGATGTTATAATATTTGAACTTTCTTTTGTACTAGATTATTTAACATTAATTTACTCATAAAATTTCTAAATTGGCCCTTCTTGTGGCATTTTCTTTTACTTTAATGCTTCTATTCCTACCCAAAATTTATTTTCTTGACATGCTTATCATTTAAAACGTATTATTTAAAATTTTGACTGATAATGTTTTAGGTTTATATGAAATAACTATGAAATGAGCTTTTTATTTTTCTTTAAAAGTAATTTATGTCTTTATTTTATTCTACATTATAATTTCATGAAAATTTTCTATGCTGTTTCTCGGTGTTGTGTCTTGAGATACAGTGTGTTCATTTCAGTGTGTTTGTATATATATACATTGTATCTATTTAGTATAAAATATCCAAAGAATATAAGGCTAGGCATATCATTGTGTGTGAAGGGCCACTCACTCACATGCGTCTCTGGACGCCTCGGACATATTATACATACCCTTGCAAGTAAGTTTTTAGATGATTTTACACGTTTCCAAGGTGCACCACGTGGAGGTTACTTACATTCCACCTCTTTTCTTTTTTATTTTTTTCATTTATTTTTTGAATTTTTTTATTTATTTTTTTTTAATTTTTATCATTTTTTAATAATTAAAGTTTTAGAATAATACAGAAGAAAAAATAAATGTTCGTAATTAAGGTCAATATTTTAAAATTATATGGTATAGTAAGCTCAAATGTAATTTTAGATGTGTTGAGATGAAAAAGCAGCTACTGCTTTTTTTAATCGTTTTGGGAAAGATTGATCTTCGATCAAATTTATTTTAAATATTTCCCAAAATTTTAACAAACTCTGTGAATCGCTTCCCCAGCTTGTTTGTTTCAAATGATCTAGAATAACATAGATTTTAACGGTTTGTAAAACATCTGTGCTTTTTAAAGCAAGCTCATGAATATTTTTATCAAATGGAGAAGAGACATGGATTATTTCCCAAACAAACTGCTATAATAATCGATATTTAGATAAATATATTTGGTGAAAAAGCTTATATATACTCGTATGTTTGAAATTTCACTTTTCCGATTGTGGATAGTAAAGCGCCATCTAATTACAATCAATATAACTATATTTTCTTGGCGATAAATTATACAATACGTACGGTAGAATAATTAATTTTCGTAAATAAAAAAAAATAAACTTGCGCGCACGCACGTGTGTGTATACATGTCAAAAATTGATCTTTCATATTTAAGTTATTATTTATTCAAAATTCATTACTTATACAAAATTTAAGACATTATCTATTCAAAATTCCATAAGAATGTTTTTAACCATCGTAATTCTTACCTCTTGTGATATTTAATAAAATTTTCCTATGAAAAAAAAACAAAGATTAGAATATCTTACAAACAGGAGCAGCTAGGATTTCAATTCAAACTGGTTTTGACTCTATTTTCAAGTACAAATATATCGCATCTTTCAGTTTTTGTCGTCATTTTTATGCGATTTAAAGTTGCTCCCTGCCCACCGTGCTGATAAATAAAAATGGTGGTTGCATAACAATAAGTATTATTTGTGTTTAACGTTTAAACTAAAGATTCCGGCACTCAACGGATGATATTTGGATCATTTCTTATCTGGTTAGCTGCATCCTGAATTCTTTCAAGTAACTGTTAACGGGTAGTAATTTCAACATGATAGACAAGCTGCTTCATATGTCCTCATAAATAGAAATCCAAAGGATTTAGATCTGGAGAACGTGGTGGCCATGCTATTGGATCTTACTGACCTATCTATTTATTTCGGAAATTATCATTTAAACAAGCAGTTACTTGTGTCCCTCTATGTGGTGATGCATTCGTGCTGATACCACATATTTTGAACAATATTAAGTCCTACGTTATCAATTAAAAAATCGTCTTGATCTAATTGCATGCGGATTTTGTAACGCCCAGATATGTTCATTATCACTATTATTTATGCCGACCCTAGTAAAACATGCTTTATCAGACCACATAACAAACGGAATGACGATATCATTTTGTGAATGTTGTTGGAGTAACCAGCGACAATATTCTTCGCTGAGGAGCATCCCCAGCGCCATTTCTTTGGTCAATACACGCCATACAAAATTGGATGATAAATGAAGATTACTTGCTATACACCGAACACTAGTTGAAAAGTTGTCAATGGCGACATCTGTTATATCTCATTTTCTTCATTTTGTACATTCACTTTAGTAGGACGAATGGCCTTTTTAGAGGGGGGAGGGGGGTTACCTTATTCTCGAAGTCTGCGAAATGAAGCACTAAAGCCTCTGTGGGTTTTGTGACATCAGTTCAGTAAAAATTTGGTATATTATGAATAAATACCAAACCATTAACCTACACCACAAAATATGAAATTAAAGATTAGTTAGGTGTTAAAACAATCATAACATAAAAAAATGTTGAAGATTAATACATTAGAAGCAATAGTTATTGTAAATAATGGGTTTGTTAAAGTAAAAATCATATATTAGTTAGACCAATGAAATAATCTATCATTAATCTAAACCGGAAACTTTTTTGACGTAGGTATCGCAAAAATTCTGTTCTGTTCGTAGTTTTCTGACAAGGTTTGTTTGCTCGGTTTGTCACAAAAAAAATAAATAAAGCATTTCCTAATTTCTAATGCTTTCTTGGATCATATTCAAGGCTTTTGATAAAATGGACCACGAGATAGTTTTACATAAATTTTAATATGCTACATTGTTATTAAAAATACTTTTATAAAATAATGCAACATGTTGATCAGAATTTCAATTAAAATAATTGCAAGAATACCTCAGGGTACTTTTCTGGATTTGGGTCTGGATTTTGATGTTTCTTATTGTTACTAATGATACTGTAAATAGTTTAAAAGTACTTATATTCCGTCTACTTCATGCTGACAAGGTATGAAACTTTTCTGTTCTATTTATTTCCTCAGAGTCAAATTGTACAAAGTTACAAAATTACTTGAACAAAGTGAATGATTCATGTCCATTATCATCTTCAATTAAATATTAATAAGTTTAATTTAACGACATACTATAAAAAAATAATTCATTATTATTTAATTATAAATTAAATGATTTATTCTAGCTTGTCCTCAGTACGCAATGCTGACCAAGAATGAAATAAATAACTCAAATGCTCCATGATAAACAAAGAGGATCGAACATTGCAATGTTGCCATATCCACTCCATTGTAATGGTGAAAACAAAATAAGTGGCATCCTACAGATGTTTACTTCTATGTCTCTCTTCTTGCCTTATGCATTCGCTCTCTACATTGTAAACTAGAAACAAACAATAAACATAAACAATGTAATACACAGATTGTGTTTATGTCTTGGTATAGCCTACTATATTTAATAACTGTATTAATACATTTACAATCTCTTACACTCTAGAAATAATAATTATAAGGCCATGGATCTTACTTAATTAAGCAATTTTTCTAAGCTTTTTGGTATTATTGATAATCATGTACATATATTTCTCTTTATTTATTGAGTATTTTGCCACTAGTGAAAATTATAAATTAAAAAATTAATGAAAATCCATGCGTCAAAAAGATAAGATTTTCTGACAGTCATGTATATCTTCTTGAATCGTACCTATTAGGCAGAAGGCAGTTTAGTGAATATGAGGGTACAAGGTCCATAGAATACAATGCCATTTCGGGAGTGTCTCAAGGCTCAAATTGGAGCCCTCTTCTGTTTCTGATATCCATAAACGACCTTACAGCCTATTGCATACTTTTTCAATACATTGTAGATCAAATTATTCAGAGATGTACTTCATATCCTCTGAAATTAAAGACTTGTTTCTTTTTCTGGAAAGAAAGATATGCTAAATTGTAAATCTATTCTTTTGGTGCGTAGGAAAGAAACTAAAGATTTTGGGAATCAGTTTGACGACAGAATAGAATTAACTGTAATAGTCTTCTAAACAAGTTGTAGTAATTTTTAACTGTACTAATCAATATTAAAAAAGTTGCCTTCTTAAAATATATGTTTTTTATTGTTTCCTTTAATTGTCTTTTTAATATATAACCTTCTAGACATTTTCTAATATATGATTTTCTTCTTATCCTGAGTCTTTCCATCCAGTTATTGGTCGCTGACTATAAGATGGTGTATGTGATAAAATAAAAAGAAATCAATTACTATATATCCAAAAAAAAATAAACTAAACTTTTAACACTACAAACTATTAGATAAGAAAAATTGCGAGTCATAATTTCAATGAAGAAATTGATATTCTTTGTTGGAATTTGTTGTATGTATTTCATGGTATTATTGGACATACTTTCTCATTTTAATATGCCTCACATAAACTATAACTTTCTCTCTCTTCCTTTCCAGGTGGTCAGTTCGATGGACGCCATGAAATATTCGATGGAAGCCGACAAGTACCGCTCCCCCTACATGCCGCCGTCCACCCTCGCCATGTCGATGTACTCCGATCCGAAATACATGGATTCCTCCTCCAAGAGCTACCTGGAGCGAGGCTACCTCGACTCCACATCCGCTCTCACCAAGGCCTACTTCGAATCGTCCAAGATGTACATGGACGCCAACAAATACAACCCCGAATCCTCCAGGTCATATCCGGCCCTCGACATAAGCAAGATGTACTCGGAACACCAGCAGCAGCAACAGCAGCAGCAGATCCCAGGAGGTATGGGCTCCCCCAGGTCTTCGGATTCACCTGACGTTAAACCGAACCAAGAACGTCTGGAGGGCGCTTCATCGTCAAGTTCGACCACTACGTCATCAGCGGGGGCGTCCCCAGGTGCTCTGCCAGGCTACTACCCAGGTAGCACCATGCAGCAGGGTAACTCGGTGCCAGGCCTGCTGCCCATGGCCCAGTACCCGGGGCAATATCCGACGCAGACGCCAGGAAGTGAATTTAGACGGCCTCTAACTGTACTATTTTGACCAGATCGAATGTGAACGTGAATAGTGATATAATAGGTGCGTTACGTGAAAGACAGTTAGCATACGAGAAATTAGAGGTAGAATGTGATGTATGGTGACAGATGCTTTAGATGAATTCAATATTGCCATTATTCTGTTGAGTATTGCGGTACAGGTAGAACCACTTGGTTTGGTTGGGTGTTTTATTCTGCTACAAAAATATTAAACATTTTATAAACCATATATGTTCATATCATAATTTAAAGCAATCCTCTGTGTATTATCTACATTTTAGATCACTGCAATTCAGTTCTTTAAATATTGCTAGATTTTGTCTAGTTGTATTGGAATATTTATCTGAAATCCTCAGGCCAGAACCAGAACTATAATAATCTAAATATCTGGTTTAGTAATAAAGTCGTATTAAAATATATATTTATCCCTCAAATCTTCAAAACTAGATCTACAACCATCTAAATATCTGTTTTGGTACTAAAGTCACAGTGAAATATTTTTTCTTAAATCTTCAGATCAGAACTAAATCTACAATAATCTATGTAAATATCTAGTTTATTCCCAAACTGATATTGTAATACTTTCTAAAATCTTCAGAGCATAATCTACATCATTGTAAATGTTTTGTTTGGTACTAAAGTGATGTTGAAATATTTCTTTCTTAAATCCTCAGATCAGAACTAGATCTATAACCATCTATGTAAATATCCAGTTTATTACTAAAGTGATATTGAAGTAGCTCTTTCTTAAAGAACATAATCTACATCATTGTAAATATTTTGTGGTACTAAAGTCATGTTTAAATATTGTTTCTTACCAGAACTAGATCTACAATCATGTATACATTTGATTTAGTATTACAGCCATAATGAAATATTTGTTTCTTAAATCCTCAGAACTAGATCTACAACCACTCAAACATCTGTTTCAATTTTGGCCGTATTGGAACATTCCCTTCTTAAATCATCAGAACTAGATCTACAATCATCTAAATATCTGGTTTGGTAGGTACTAAAGTGACATTGACATATTTCTTTCCTAAATATTTAAAACTGGATATACAGTCTTATAATATTTAGTTTTCTACTAAAGGCAAATTGAAATATGCTTTTCTTAAATTCACAAAATTAGATCTACAACTTTATAACTATTTGGTTTGGTGCTAAAGTCATAATGACATATTTCTTTCCTAAATCCTCAGATTCAGAACTAGATCTGCAACCATCAAAGTGCCTAGTTTAGTATTGAATGCGTAGTGGAATATGTCTATTTCAATTCCTCGAAATAAGATTTACAACCACCTAAACGTATCTTAAGCAATGAGGTTAAAAGAATGATAGTTACCTATAGAAACATGATCTCTGGAATTGCATAGTCTAATTTCTTATTTTCCTGTAATTTAACATTTTCAAAATTAAATGAGCAACATTATTAAATCATAAACACTACCGTCAGTACAGTTATGACTTATTTGATGCGAGGTTTAGCAAAATCGAAAACCAAATAAAATTATGCTTGATAAATCTATCTTTATAAAAAGCATATTGACTAAAGATACAAATATATTTACTTATTACATCAATTTATCTACTATTTGACTCAAGTTGACTTAATTATTATTTGTGTACTTTTTGCATTTTGGTTGATTGAATCAACATAATTGTCAAAAAAATTTTTTAGAGAAGAATTGAGGACATTTTTAGCAGTATTTAAACTTACATCATAAACTTAAGATAATTTTTTGATAACGTCCAACTAAATCAAGCCAAGTTTTTGTTGTTACTTAGTTTCCCTCTGTGATTTACATATAATTACAACGTAGAATGTATAATGGCAAAACAATTGTAGCTAAAATTTTATCTTAAGGAAATATCGCTTGGCGCCTTTCATTATCTCAATCTTGACGTAAGAAAGGACTAAATACATATTTTTTTGTGTGGGTGAAATTTTTCATAAAAATTTTGCTTGCAGCCAGTATACGAGTTTCTGAGACAATACATAAAAAGAAAATTATTATCGTTGACTTGGAAACCATCAGTTGTGTAACAAATACTCAACTATGTACAAAAATGTATATATCATTTCATTAGTATGTACAGAAGTAAATGTGCTTAGTTACAAATTATTTAAATTATGTTTTTATTGTAATTCACACACATTGTCTTGTGTTCTGTTACTTTTATTGTACAAAGTTTATTTTAGACGATTATTTTTACATTTCTGTTGCTGTTTTCGGTAGCGTCTACTTAAAAAGTAACTACAATGTATAATCATATATTTAACTATCAAAAATTAGGAGTACTATGATGGTATGTTATGTAAATTAAATGAAAAACAATTCCAACAATAAACTAGACTGTCATTGTTTCATTTCACTTGTTTTATTATCAAACATTTTGTTCCATAACATCGATAGCATGTAAAAAAACCTTTTACGAACATATGATAAATCAGGTAAGTTCCAGAAGACCAGTATTGAACAGTAGAATCATCAGTTGGGCTAATATTGAATATTATTGAGATATTTAGTTCACTGTTGAAGAAAACTATCTCAACTAAAACTAATTATCCATTGGTTAATAATGGATCATATCTACACAAATATATCATTCTAATATACAGAATTTAAACAGGTTTGGTATGTAAGATATATAAAATATATAAGATATATAAGATATATAAGATATATAAGATATATAAGATATATAAGATATATAAGATATATAAGATATATAAGATATATAAGATATATAAGATATATGAGATATATAAGATATTATAACGGAGTAGTTTTTTTTCCACAATATCATTACTAACTGAATAATATATCGCAAAGAATTTATATCCCAAAAATATAACATCTTGTATAAAAGAGTGGGTACTCTTATCTTCCATACTTGAAAAAAATATACATAAAAATGTACCCTTATTCTTTAATGTATTATTCGTGCTGAACATATCGAAAGACGATTTAGAAGCATCCTATATATTTACAATGTGTAATATGTTCTTTAATTGAGTGAAAAGCACCCCTTGCAAAGAAGCTAATAGCGTCGGGCATATTAGAATTTCCTAAGTCTGTTTCCTGCCGAAAAATTATCGACTGCAAATTATGAGCCATTGTCGACATCATTAGCGGCACAAAAAGTGCGGCCGATCATGGGAAATTATTGAAATAGCGCGTCCAGCACACACCGTAATATATTCAAACGCTATCGCTTCGATTCGGCTCGCTGTCGACTGTAATGATTTATAGACTATTTAATAGTTTATTTTCCTTTGTGCCCCATTGAGAGGTGTCAGTTTTGTGTAATTCAAAAATAAACATCGCACATTGTTAACGACCGCTACAGGGAATTGTAATTACGAACAAGTTTTTAAATGCTCGCCCTTATTAGGGCATTATCATGAACTACTGGATTTCTAGGAAAAACGTCGTTTGTTTTTGTATAGAACTGATTACTGAAGTGAATCCGGTCGGTGGTGTTGTTAATTTTAATTAAATAATGTAACCAAATCAGAAGAAAAGCCATAACGTTCCTTACCGGCCTTGTGAAAGGGTAACTAATAACGTACTTAATCTATTTACTTGTCCAAAATGAACATAATTCTGTCAAATGCAAGAATTATTTTACTGGACATTACGTAAAAGGTTGACCTCGGTTTGCTCACGTCTCTAGTTATGCATAATCTGAAAATATTTTTGAATTGAACTATGAGAATCCTTTCAAAATTTTTAGAGACCAAATAGTACAGTCATTGAAGTTTTTCACCTCCGAATTCTTTGAAACTGAACCGATCGACTTGAAATTTGGCAGATAATTAGAGAAAAGGTCAATGAATATTAATGACATAGCGCCGATTGACGCTTCCGCCATGTTGGGGGGTTGACAACCCTTCTCGGTGGTAGAAATTTTTTTTCAAAAATAACGAAATCGATAGAGAATCAAATTTTGAGCAAAAAATATTCGAAGAATTTTTTCGAGAAATCAATAGTTTTTTATTATTCACGATTGAAAACTTGGAATTTTGAGTGAAAAAAATACTTTTTCAAAGTATTTTTCGCGAGTAACTCAAAAAGTACGCATTTTATTGAAAAAGTGTAATGAACAAAAATGTAGCTTATAAATAAACAAAGAAAATCGTTTTTTAAAAAGTGTTGTATGTCGTATACAAAGCGGAATATGGTTAGTGGAAGGGGACTTGATTTGGGGGAATACTCGAATCGATGTTTGTAATTTTACGTGTATAACGCTCCATGAGTTTTTTGTAGTACTCAAAAAGACTTACAAAATGAGCACTTATAAAAGTTAGTTAGAGCAAAATTGAAGGAGTTATCGTCAAAAACAGATGGGTTGCTCATATTTTTTAAGGAAAAATGAGCAGTAAACACTGTACCATTTCCATCAGAATAAAAATTAATCGCAGACCCTTTACAATTAGTTTTGTTTTAGTGTTTTTCATATGATCCTGAAGTTAGACCGGTATAGAATGTGTATTTTTTGAATAATGTACGGTAAAAGTTGAAAACGTATTTTTCATTATTCAAAAATAATTGCCTTATTTATATAATAATTCTGAAACTATGTAAGATACGTAAAAAATGATAGACAACAAAAATTTAGATTTTTTGTTCAACAAATATTTTGCTTTTTTTTATTCCTATAGCATAAAAAATAAAGGAGATATCGCCGCTTGAAGTATCCATTTTAGTGAAAAAACGACCTGTCTCGAGCCCGTCGATCCTTTCCCTTTAAAAAACGAAGGACTTAAAAGGTGTTATATGCAAACGATCTTATAGCTCTTGAAATTATCTTTAAAATGCTTTTTTGTAGGATACTATAGCTTCAAAATTAACCGAGTTATTGTTAAAAAATCAATGACATTTTTTCGGAACAAAATTTTTATTTTAAATAATTACACCGTTAAAGCATTCCAAGCTTTTAAAAAGTAATTTTTTATTATTTTTGTCAATCCAGGGGTAGTTTTTAGGGGTTGAAAGGGAA